TCCTTGCATTTCACACACTTCTTTGAAGAAGACTGAAGGTGGATATCTAGAGGGGCTGAAGGTGGATATCTAGAGGGGCTGAAGGTGGATATCGAAAGGGGCTGAAGGTGGATATCCAAAGGGGCTGAAGGTGAATATATAAAGGGGCTGAAGGTGTATATCTAAAGGGGCTGAAGGTGGATACCTGAAGTGAATTCACTGAAGGCCTCTCCTATCTCCATTACCTGACGTAGCTGTTCAAATTCAAATTCTACCTCATTACAAAATTGAAGAAAAACACAAAGACAATTGTATGTTTCACAAAAACTTATTTATTCACGACCATGGTTTCACCAGTAAAGGCATCATCAGGCACAGACTGAAATGGTTTGTAAACAGGTTTATATATATAGTTTAAACAAAAACCGGTTTGGTTTGTTATGAATTTTGCACAAAGCTACACGAGGGCTATCTGCGCTAGCCGTCCCTAATTTAGCAGCGTAAGACTAGAGGGAAGGCAGCTAGTCATCACCACCCACCATCAACTCTTGGGCTACTCTTTTACCAACGAATAGTGGGATTGACTGTCACATTATAATGCTCCCATGGCTGAAAGGGCGAGCATGTTTGGTGGGACGGGGAATCGAACCCACGACCTGCAGATTGCGAGTCGAGCGTCCTTACCATCTGGCCATGAAGGGCCAGAAGACCGGAAGTAACCTTGACATTCACCTTGAGACAAGTGGGAAGGAGCTTAAGTTGATTTGGTCATTTAGAACATTGTCAAAATTTGTTTTTAAGACTTCTATTTATTTCTAAAATTTCCAGGCTGTCTAGTTTCTATAGAACATCCTGTTTGACTTGTGTATACATTTTTGCAGTCTTGGCACGTTAATTGGTAAACATCGCTGTTGTTGTATTTTTCGATGTTGTCTTGTTGTTGCACAACATTTTGCCTAGATTTGTACAATTTGTACAGAAGACCGGTCTGTAGATTTCTTTGTTCAGTGTGTTATATATTTTGTGAGAAGGTTTACTAATGTAGCTTAACTTAAACCATTTTTCTATTTTTTGTCGTTATTCGCTGTATAATCAATTTTGTTATCATATAGTTCTTAATATTACAGAAAATACAGGTTTCGCATTAAAAAAATCTGTCAAAATTTCACTTCAGGGTTACCACTCCTCGAAAGTAACTTCGATAAAAAAAATATGTAAAAACGAAACTGCCGAGTTGATACCATTAACAGAAAAATGATTCACTTTAATCAAAATCAGATCTCCGAGTCTAAAATTTGTTAAGATCTCGGAGCAGAATCCTCATGAAAAACACACGTCGTCTACAAAAATAGTAGTTATAATATCAGGTTGCGTATTTACTGAGCCCCAAGTAGCTTTTTCATAACAACACCAAACAATAACTTATACAAAAGAATAATCTAAAAAAGGATATGCATACATGCACTAAAGTAGTTACAGAAAACAAAATGCAAAATGGCAGCCCCTTTAGATATACACCTTCAGCCCCTTTAGATATTCACCTTCAGCCCCTTTAGTATATCCACCTTCAGCCCCTTTGGATATGCACCTTCAGCCCCTAGTGTACACACAAGCACTTGTCCCTACAGTGCCGACATCACTTATTCCGATAGTCCAATCCATACAATTAAAGAAACCACTAGATCAATAAATTATATACTTAAAGAGTTTAAAAATATTTATGAGGGACACTTACAAATAGTCATATTCCTCGCTGTCAATAATGAATCGGTACGTTGGTGCGAATGTTGGAGACTTTTCCCCCTACCTGTTTCAATAGTTGGATTTAATGAACTGCTATGACTGTTTCAATAGTTGGATTTAATGAAATGCTCTGCCTGTTTCAATAGTTGGATTTAATGAACTGCCCTGCCTGTTTCTAGAGTTTTGAATTTAATGAACTGCCTTGCCTGTTTCAACAGCTGGATTTAATGAACTGCCCTACCTATTCCTAAAGTTGGATGACCTCAGTACAAAAGCTGGTGCTTTTCCTATTCCTCCTAATTTGTCCATTACAACTTTCAAATCATAGATGTGTAAAATCAGAATTATTAGAGTACTTTGTCATCTATCAGTGCTCAAAACTTAAAGTAAAAAAGAGTAAATTGTTATAAGTTACTCGATACAATCCAATCCAGTCCCAAGATCTCAGCTGTGTCCCAGCAGCTGTTTTGTAGTAAGCAGTTGCATCTGAGTTTGTTTTCCAGTTTTGAAGTGGAAGGAAAGTAACCAGATCCTCCTGGGGTTCAGTAAACACCTGGAATCACAAGTAACTTCTAACTATATGATATTTGCAGGAATCTTTGATAATAAAAGGTTTTATAGGTTTGCTCTAAAGTTCATGACGAAATACTCTAATAATGATAAAAAGATTGCATTGGCTTTTAATATTAAAAGTATCATAAATAAATAAATGAAATAATAAAAAAATTAAATCGATATGAAGCATGGATCAAACAGAAAAACCTTAATGATGATAGTGATAAAAAAAACAACACAGGTTTACAAAGTTTCCAATTAGATACTTTGATGGTAAATATCAAACATCAATAAACACATTACTTCCTAACTCTTATTATACATTGGTAATAAGTAAATAAACATTAGCAACTGATTACCTTTATAGAAAATGCAGATGACACAGGTTTGTGATCACTCTGGAGGTAACGAGGGTGATTCTTGTAATGATGTTGTTTTAGGTTTAACAAGACCTGTTCATAGGCATTTTGGGTGAACCGATACAGAATTCTGTCTGTCCATGCTGGTTTCCGATTTCTGGTATATTGTAAAAATAATGTTTCTTTGTATTTATTTATTTAAATTGCAATGACAAAAAAAAAAGGTTAATTCTTTTAAACAGTAGAGTTTCTATAGGGATGATCATTACCTTATTATTGTAAAATAAATAAGTATTAAAGCAAAATGTCCCTAATATTTCTCCACATCACAACCTTAACAAATAATTTGTCTTTTACAGCAAGGGACCTAATGTATCAGTGATCTTAACTATTCACCTATATTTATCAAAATTAAAACATAACATGCAATTTTTGAGATATTTAACTTTCTCACACACACACACAATAAACTGCCTTGCCTGTGTTTAGAGTTTTGGTTTTAATGAACTGCCCTGCCTGTTTCAATAGTTGGAATTAATGAAATGCTATAACTGTTTCTAAAGTTGGATTTAATGAAATGCTCTGCCTGTTTCAATAGTTGGATTTAATGAACTGCTATGACTGTTTCTAAAGTTGGATTTAATGAAATGGTCATCATCTCGATGCCTGACAGTTGAATCACATTTTACTGTCATGCAAACATATTATTATAAAATTTTGGATTTTATTTTATTATGGCTAAATCTTTAATCCTTCATAATAGATCAATCAATTCTGAAAAATGTCAAATTAGATTACAGTTTTGGGTTTACTGAACTGCCCTACTTGTTTTTAGACTTTTGGTTTTAATAAACTGCCTTGCCTGTTTTTAGAGTTTTGGTTTTGGACATGATTAAAACTGGCATCACCTGTAACTAAGCTAACTAATTGCTGATTGGACATGATTAAAACTGGCATCACCTGTAACTAAGCTAACTAATTGCTGATTGGACATGATTAAAACTGGCATCACCTGTAACTAAGCTAACTAATTGCTGATTGGACATGATTAAAACTGGCATCACCTGTAACTAAGCTAACTAATTGCTGATTCCATATACTTCCTTTTGAAACATGAATTTTTGTCCAAATCTAGTGCATGGAATAACTTTTACTAGCCAAATGTTTTGATTTCTACATGTTTTTCATGTGGAATTTCAGTCCTGGGAGCCGCGAGTGGATTCACCATACTACTGCTGAGAACAGTATGACTGCTGCCCGTATTTTAACAGGCATTGTGCTGTTATGAGTGGTTGGATAACAATCTTGTACTCACAGTGTACACGACTGTACTCTGTTGTGGTTTATTTTCACAAAATAGGGAAAAACAATCCTAAAAAAAATTTGCATTTTATAACCATTTTATTCACCGTTTCCCTAATTACTTCCAACAATGTATATACTGCAGTCCACACACACACACAGATATACATATTCTCAAATACCATTTAATAAAAACGTAGTATAGCAAAAAGAAATCAGGATTTCCAAGCAAATAGGTTTAGTTTTATGAAGAATTGTAGAAGCATAATTTTTCTTACTTCAAAAAGTTCACTCATTCCTAGTACATCATCAAAGCTGCTTCTAATGTACATCAGCTGGTAAACCCCAGGAACAAGGATGGTTTGGTCTGCAAAAGTGACTTGGTATAGTAACCAATCAGACTGCCCCCGTCCAACCCGAGACATTGATGATGAAGATACATTCTCTGTTGATTGTTGGGTTTCTTGCGGAATAGCTTGTGGCCTGGTGGATGCCCACACGTAGCAAAGATACTCATCAATGCTACCAAACTTTTCCTGCATTAGTGAAAGGGGAACAAATATTTCTAGAATAGTAAAACCACCGTTCCAATATTCTATATAATAGAAAAGTTTAAACATAATAAATAAAAGATCTAAACACCAAACACAATATACAATAATATTATATATATATATATATATCTATAAGCTATGTGGTCCTTTAATAGAACTCAGTTCTTCTGAATCGCTTAGCAACAAAACTATGACCTGCTCTTGTTGTCTTCAGTATTGTTATCCTCTGATTATTTTTTTTATAGGTATGACATTAATGGCTCATTGCTTTATTGGCGAGCCAAATATTTTAATGATATAATTACTTATAACTTGAGATTTTTTTATTTTTAACAAATATTTAATGCATTAACAACAGACAGGCAAAATTTATGACTACTCGTTTTTAAACTCCAACCTGTTAATTTTTGATGGGTAGGGCAAAGCAAGTTTAACATATACAATGGAGCGTCATACGTACATGTAAGATTAATCTACAAACGATTTTGGTATTACTACTCGCACGTTATGTAATATACTACTTTGTTTTTGAAAAGCAATTATAAAACATCAGTTTTAATATTGTAAAATAACTATTACTTCTGCACCCCACCCCCCACTTCTACTCACTGTAAATACTTTATATTATATATTCACCAAGTCTGGAACAGTTTTAAATGTATAAACTACATAAAACGTATAGAAATTCGTGGATCATGAGGATAATTTTGATACATACATCAAAATCATCTGACAAAATAAGGCATTTTAAAGCTACTATCATTCTCAGCCAACTCACAATAATCCTATAACTTAGTTAGGCACCAGCAGATGTTTGCTCCAGGTATGTGTTGTTCTTTTTACCCCAAATCTAAGAATAATTTAATAACTCTTGTAATTTTTTTTTCAGCCTTTCATTTATAGATTCAAGTTGATTAAACTCTGAAAAGGGTACATGAAACTAGTACTGTTGTTAATAACAGCAGTTAAAGTCGGAAGCGCATACTCTTCAAAAATT